AAGCCATGGTACCTCCCTCAGAATAGTGTGGGAAATACTATTCATGAGTTAATAAAGCAAAGGGCTAAGTATCACAACCTTTTTTTAAAGGAATTAAAATACCAGAATCTTAGAGCTTTAAGTACATCTAGGCCAATTCCCTCTTCTTCCACTGTTAGAATTCCCTCCGCATCCATTAAATTCATAACATGATGTCTGATAGGACTTCCTATGGGGACATGTTGGAGGAGGATGATTTGATCATGGCCATTGAATTGTAGCTTCTCTAGAGGCACCAATTAAACAGTAATTACTGTAGTGAAAGAAAGTGGCCTATTCAACAGAAGTTTTACAAACACACCACTTGCTCACACCTGTATAAACCACTTTGGATACAAATATGCATTGTAGGATATTATTCTTGGAGCACACCATCCCTCTCTCAAAGCAGCTTCCTTAAGTTCTGCAGAAAAAAATTATAAGGTCTATTAGGAAAACATGTGAAACATTCAACATGCTCACTCACTCTTAAAATAGCAAAATCTTCATTTAGTTCAAATAATGAACTCTTATTCCAAAGCACATCTTCCCTACCAGCTTGCTAGTGTGTTAGAATTCCTTGCAAAAAATTGGAGAGAACTGTACTAGAAGGGAAAGATTATACCCTGCCAAAAACTGTACATCATATATCTCTGGATTGGCATTTAGAATGTTTGGTCTGAAAAATTTAAGCATCATGTGAAGTATGTAGATTCCACACTGGCAAAAGCTGCATTCTGGATTGAGCGTCCCTTCGAAACAGGGGTTTCATTAATGCTACAAGGAATTATGGTCTGTGATGCCCAAAGGAAGACGTCTGAGTCTTTGATTTTTCTGAAGACGGACAACGTATAACGAGGAATTGTCTGAATTCTGAAAGGCCTTGTAGGCAATAGTAATAAAAACAACACACTGTGTGTGTGTGTGTATATGTGTGTTGGGTATATAATTTTATACCCAACAAAGCACTTTTATCCACAAAAAAGAGGCTTTTGTATTTTTAACTGGGGGAAAATAGTGAAAGAAATGTAAATTACATGGTACAGTCGTGAAATCATTTATGCACCATTAAAAGATACACCACAGTTTTGTTACTGGGCGATTTGGAATGCTCATCCTAAACCTGACTGTTAGTCTCACTGTGATATCGGAAGCAAATACACTACATTCTTTCAAATCTCCAACAGGATTTCAGTACTTGGGAATTTAGTTTTATAACCTTTTATGAAAAGTTCTTCCTTCTAAACTTTAGGGACACAAAATCATACATCAATTCAAGTGGAATGGCACGTGTCAATTTTAGAATTTGCATTTATTTTACATACCAACACATGATCTGCAGTGGGCTGACACTCTAGATTCATTTCCCTACTCTGTTGCTATTTTTGGTCACTTTACTTTCAGTCAGTTTCTCCCCTTATTCTGGAAATTAACAAAACTGCATTATGGTTTTTGTATACTTATCATCCTCACTTTCTATACAGGAAATAAATCAATATTTTAAAGTTATATTAATTTCTCCTTCTAAACACAGGTATAAAAGGTAATTTGAGTAATGAAAGCAAACACACAGGACTGTGAACCCCTAAGGTTAAAGCAGAAAAACCCAAACACATTCAAAGCCAGAAAAAAGTAAAGTTAATTCTAATCCATTTTTCTTACTGTACTGCAACTAAAAGCAACTGCTATCACTGGGGATTTCAGAGAACAGACCTACTGAATAGGTATTTCAATGACTGGCTACTCTCTCTGTAATAATTGTCACACACTAACTATAGATACTGCTCTTGTCTAAGGAATGATACACAGATTGACCCTGAGTTTTTGTGTCAAGACCAAATATGTGTGATTCTGAGTTGTCCAGCTGGAAAAATAATGCTCACACTTTGGATTATGACATAAGACTTACCTGGGCCCAGATCACAATTTGAATGAATAAGTCAGAAATGTTTTAGATGTCAGACCTCTTGAGATGAGAAAGGCCTCAGGAGACATTAAAGAGCCCTGTGTTTTATAACAGATCTCCTAACCCGGTGGTTCCCACAGTGTGATCCAGGGCCCCTGAGGCCTCCTAGGTCCTTTCAGGGGGTCTCTTAGATCAATACTAAGTGAATTAGTGAATACTATTAGCATTCACTATTGTGAAAGTAGTATTGTGAATACTACTTTCACAATAACGTTAGGACATTATTCACCCTTTACAGTCTCTTATTTATCTCATGAGCGTTTGGTGGAGTCTTCTGGAGGCTACTTGGCATAGAAAGTTCCCATCTCCCTGACAGCTAACAGAATTGCATGTTGTGTATTCTTGCATTTAAAACATTTCTCAATTTTTATTTCTAATATGGAAAATATCAATAGATAATAAGCCACATGAATCAGACTCCCTCCGGGTCCTCAATCATTCTGAAGTGTAAAGTCATCCTGAGAGTGCAGAAATTAAGAACCACTGGTCTTATTGTAGACAAGAGTAAATACTGTATGTTCTGTGAAACCCTAAAATGTACCCTAAAAGAAACTGGGAGTCTTGAGGATGTCTTTAATTGCAGTTTTGTCTGCTCTACAATGGGTCACAGTCCAGTACTGCCACAGTGCTGGGTTCTATTAATGCAAGACGTTGAAGTTTTATCAGGTTAGTTGTACTAGAATCTACTAACACGGTAGTCCTCCCTTACCCACGGCTTCTCTTTCTGTGGATTCAGTTAGCCATGGTCAACTGTAGTCTGAAAATATGAAGTAGAGAATTCCAGAACTAAACAATTCATGTTTTAAATGTTTCTCACATATTTCTGAGTAGCATGATGCAGTCTCTAGCACGCCGCGTCCAGGACGTCCAGGACGGAAGGAAGTGGTCCCTTCGCCCTGTGCATCCACACTGTTCATACCCTGCCACAGGGCACGCAGCCTTCTTGACAATCAGGTCACTTAGCAGAGGGAAGGAAAGAGACCACCTTCATGTAACATTTATTACTGTACATTGTTACAATTGTTTTATTGTTAGCTCTTGTTATGAATCTCTTACTGTGCCTAATTTATGGATTTAACTTTGTCATAAGTATGTATAGGAAAAAGCATACTATATGTAAGTGCAACCACAGTTTCAGACCTCCATGGGGGGATTTCGAATGTACGCTCCTTAGGGAAGGGGGCACTATTGGACAGTACAGTACGAAAGTGGAATTTTATGCAAATGTGTTTTCAAAAACATAAGATCGAAGTAAGTCTCCACGGAATCTCTACAACTTTGATTTTTCTGCTTCACAGTTTATGTACTAATTAACGGAATCACTAGGTATATTGGCCACACCCTTTACAGAATCTTGAAAACCAAAATGACTTTTCCTTTGATACCTGTTGCAATAAGAGTATATTTTCAAACAGAAATTTGGGTTATTTTAATAAGATAATGTTAAATAGTAGTTTAACGTGGCCTTTCTTCCATTCAATTCACAGATGTGATCGAGTAGAAGTCTATTTAGACGTGATAAAAAAGTAAGATGGCAACTTTAATTTGGGTCCCCTGACATACTTACTATGTCAATTATATGGGCTCACCCCTTCTTTCATTTATTTTTTATTTCACTTCCTTAATTTGCTAGTTGCTCACTTACAGACTGATAACTGAGAAGACAAACTCTCAATTCCTTATTTTGACACGAAATGAACATAGTCCTGTCTTCCCCGAGCCGAAGGAGACCCCATGCTGCCCCAGGGTCCACCGTGTGGGATGGGGCACTAGAAAGTGGGCAATGGACGCTCTGAACCCCTGCACCAGCCAGATCGGGCCTCCGCGGCTGTTGAAGGAATTCAAGGCAAATCATAACTGCACTCCCACCCCAGTTTAGACTAAATCAACTTACGGTGAATACTAAAGTTCATAATGAAATGATTTTGAGTTCAAACCATTCTCTTCCAAAGGCACCCACAAGTTAACAAAAACATGTTATTCTTACAGATTTCATCAGAAAAATGAGGATAGGTATTATGCTTATTTTTCAGATGAACTAACATAAAAGGCATTATTTTTCTTTTATAATAAGTAACATGTCTGGGATAAAATCCAGGTCTCTTACTCATTTTTTAACTATCAATCTACTACCAAAAACAATAAAGCCAAACCAAATTTATATTCTGTAGTTTATACTTTATAACTAGGTCTGTTACTTCATGGTTACCTAGCACTAACCCCTTAACTGTTACACTTGCATATCAGTTCTTCCTACCTGAGGTTCAGAGACATCACTGACCTGCACAAGGTCACATATGTAGCAAGTGAAAGTCAAGGCTACCCCTAACACCTGTGGATGTCAACATTTCAACTGTAAGGCTGTTACTAAGTAATAATTATTCTATCCTGTAGAAGAAAGCCATACTGAACAAGAGTACAGCTTCTTTTTTCTCTTCCTCTCTCCCTTCCGATTTTAAGCCCCTCAGGACAATAACCTGGACATCCATCCAGCCTGGAGCCTGGTGGAACAGAACATGAATAAAACAGGGTTTGTGAGAAGAAGCTGTGACAAGCGAGGTGAATGATCCCACAGTCCAATAAACCTGACCCCTAAGTCTATCACGCTGGGTCAGAAGGTCTAATTATAGGTCTGTTCTAGTTCTTTTTATGATTGACAGCAGCTGGAGGCAAAATTACTTTGGTGTCTGTTAATCCAGCCTCTAATTTCCCCTTTGCCCCAGTCCACACAAAGCGTCATGGTGGCCCAGGGTGAGCAGTACTGTGAATCCAGATTTGAAATGCCCTTGTTTCCTGTAGGAAGAGCAACCAGGTTCAATCCCAGTCCTCCTCCTGGGAACATTACCTGCAGCTCTGTTTGGAAGAAAAACTTCTGCGGACATTGCGTGCAGTCGTAGATCTTGTCTTCTTGTCCATGGGCAGAGAAAATATGCTGCTGCAACTTGTTTGCTTGAACAAACACTGAAATGATAAGAAGTGGTGAACTTTGGGTTATTTTCTTTCCGAAATGCACTCAGCTGGGGACTCCCTGAGACCGGACCCAGACTCAGCAGACTGACTGGCATTCCTTCTGGGTGTGACCCCTGCCAGGGGCCTGGGGAGTGGTGAGTCACCTTTGCTCAAGGCTGGGCCTCTGGCTTTCGTTAAAATGCACTCTACTGGGCACCTGATTCCACCCAAACTGCTCCAAAGTAGAGGTTTATGAAGGCCCAGCTCCCTATAAATCTTTGTAAAATAAAGCCCAAAGTTGTCAAATGCACAGCCCTGTCTGAACAGAAATAATTCTTATTTCTCAGCAACCCACAGGTTAAGAAATCATAAATGCCAAAACCCTATTTATTGTATTTGCCTAAAGTTATAGCTAGCAAACAGTTCTCTATTTAAATGTGTTAATGCTAAAAATTATATCCCACAGCTACTCTGGGGCATTGTCTATAAATATGAAACAGAACCCCAGGTAAATTCTCTTTGGATACTTTAAGATCAACTCAGCCTACACGCTGAATGCAAGGGTTTCAATAATATAAACATGTTCAATTTTAATGACTACAAAACAAGGCCCTACGACTGTGTAACAGTTTACCTAGGAGACATACTATTAATAATTAAATTGTATATGCCAGAGGCAGTGTTTGGGTTGGCAGAGCTGACTTCTGATGGATGCCTGGTGCACTGTGACCTAAAAAAGTTTGCATCTACAATATTAATCTGTATAGGCAGGGAGAGGATTTATTAAAGATGCTGGCATTTGACTTTGCCTCTAATCATTAAAATTATTCTAATTGCCAGCCAAACTAAAATATTAGAATATTGTTCTTGTGAGTCATACATTTTAATCACATTTCTCATTACCTTAAAAAACAGCTCAGGTTTCCTCTCCCACCTAACATTGGAAGGGTTTTTTTTCCCCCTTTAATTGTTATTTCTAAAATTACTTCAAGATACATGAAAACACTTCAGGTCTATAAGCCCAGAAAAAGCAGACCGTTTGTGATTAATGTATTTTTGTCTCTTACTGACATCAACAAAAATTAAGAAATGTGGTTTTTATACAGATTTGCAACTAATGCCCATAGAACTTAGCACCTTTTCTGAGGCTTCTGGCCACAAAATGAAAGAAGGGGCCTTAATCATCAGGAGATCTGCAGCCCAGCCCCCACTCCTTATGAAGACTTACTATGAGCTTTTATAAAGAGTCCAGACTCCTGACTTGCGTCATAAGGTAGGTGCTACACTATGGGAAAAAGAGCACACAGCAGATTTTTAAATACAAGTTTGGAAGCATAAAAAAAAGGCTCTAAAAGGAGTGGCTGATGAATTACTGAACGAAGGAGCCTTGCGGGCGCATGCTGAAGGCAGAGCCTCGACTACCTGTGCAGCGAGCACGCCCCCCCCCCGCTTTTATTTTATCACAGGCCGGACAACGACAGGCTGAACGCAGGGAAGGGCAATAATCAATGCTAGGAATACTGCTCTGGAAACAAAGAAGTCAATTTTGAGAGACTGTATTTTTGTTTTGTTTTGCTTTTTCTGACAAGAAAGAAGGAAACATAGCCTCAAGGGATGCGAGCACTGGGTGTCAAGCACATGCGCGCACAGAAGCACGCAGGGCTTCCCAGAACAGCTTTGTCGTTGCGGGGGGGGGGGGTGCCAGAAACGTGCGCGATCGCATTTCAACCTCTGTGGGCCGCGGAGTGCAGCTTCTGATTCACATTTCCTTGTGCTGCTGAAGGCTGCACTGCTACAACGTCTAATAAAAGTTGCTTCTGCAATGTGTATATTTATAGCGACATCTACCTTAAAAATTTCAATTTCCTAGGAAATAAACGTCTCATCAAATGTCACCAAGTTCAAAGAATTTGGGGAGGCTTATAATAATCTTTTCTACTTCTCACGGGCAATGTTACACAATTCTTCACTTTTAAATAGCACACCTGTGCCTACAATATGATGGCACTTGCGGTGAGCGTCCTGTGATTTAAAAGCCTTTGGCTCTGTGCGGGCGCTCTTGGCCTTGGTAACCTCTGAGCCTCGAGCAGAGAAAAGTGAGCAAAACGTGGATGTCATTTTCCAAGTGGAAAAGTGCAAACTTCTGAGAGAACTGGAAATGCCATTTGCTCATCCCGATGGTTAACCTTCCTGCCCATTTGAGCCTTTAAGTAGGCCGCAATCAATAATGCTAATAAGCAGAAATCAAACATCGTCTTCCCCAATTGCACTGAAGTCATATCTGTAAAGGCCAGAGCCGTGGGAAGTAAGCTCTGGTAGGAGAGACACGAGTGATGCAGCCGTGACACTCTCCCCAGGCCCCCGCAGGGGCCCGCCTACCTGTAAAGCAGACGGGACACTTGAAGGTGCCGCCCATCCCCTCGAAGCTGTGCTCTATCAGGTGGCACTGGAGTTTGGCAGGGGAGTCGAAGGTCTGGCTGCAGAGTTTGCACTCGTGGTTCAGTCCTTCATCTGTTAAGGAAAACACGTGGACAGAAAAGTTAAAGCCATCGCATCGTGAATGGACTGCCGAGTTAACGACAATTGCACACCTGAAGCCATTTCCATCACCAGATAGGAATAGGTCGTGGTATGTACATAGTGAATTCCCTCACGGCCATGTTTCCTCCTTATAGCCATTCTGAAATTTAAAATCCAAAGATTATCAGAAAGCAGATTTTATTTTAGGGTAATAATGCATTCTATTAAGCTTTTAAAGTACAATTGGTATATTAATAATGAGGTGTCTTCTTTTCTCTAGTTATCATAATTTGATGAGCTGTGTATTTCCAAAGTCCTAAATCAAGAACCTGTAGAAAAACAAACAGTTTTTTCCTCAGGTCTTTCCTCTGGTTCATCTAGAAAGTGCTAGAAGTTTCTATTTCTAACCATAAGGTTCTTAGTGGTATTCCCACTGATAAGACTTTCTTTTTCTACTTCCAAGAATTTCTAGCAATTTTGAAATATTATGAATGCTTATAGTATCTTATAAATGTTCTTTTTCTCTGCTTGGTACTCCCAGTCACCCAGATCTTCTCAATCCACTCCTCCCTTTACTTCTTAAGACAGTTCCGATTTTACCCTGATCTAGACTCTGCCTGTTTGTCCCTAAGGGCACCTTCCTGAGCTCTGGGCTCACTTTTCACTAGTCCTAGATTTTTCCTTGGTGTCTTGGGAACAAGATGGTAGAAAAATATTTTGATGTTATGACAATTGCCATATAATAAAGTGAAGCATTTGTGGCATAGATAAAGCCATGGTCTATTACATTACTTTTTTCCTCGTAAAAACATTTATAAAATAGAAAATTTATGTATTATCCTGACTGATTTCAATCTATCAATTATAAGAAGTGAAAACCAGCAGCTCTAGATTCTAGGACAACGTAAAAATTTTTTTACTGCTTACTGAGTTCAGATACTGTTACTTGAAGTGCTTACAGACATGGATTCATTTAATTTGACAGCAACCCTTTGAAAAATACTTCTAGTATTCCCATTTTACAGACAGGGAAAATGAGGCCCAGGGAGTTTTAGTGACTTTGCTCTGAATCACAGGGTCAATAATTGGTAGAGCCCAGGCAGCTTGGCTCAAAGTCTGGGATATTAGCAGATAAGCTATAAACAATCACCAGCTACCACTGAGACGACTTATTAGGAAGAGTAAAATGTCAGAGGCTGCAATTTAACCTGGCTTGTTACCAAGCTATACTTTTATCTTCTCTTATTTACAACGATTATAAAATGCTATGAAGGAACACCTGTGTCGGTACTCCAGATCTAGGGAATGAAAGACAAATTCACGCTCTGGGGGCAACAAGTCTACTCTTCAAAGTTATTTCCTTTCATTCAACACAACATGTATGTGTTAAGTCCTTCAGCAGCTGATGTTACTGGTACCACAAATGCCCAATTACAAAGTGAATTATTATTAGCTAACGAGGAGTAGAATCGCTCCATTTGTATTCCTAATCTTTCTTCTCACACAAGTATGAGCCTTTAGAAGCAGAGGATTGGAATTTGTAAAAGGAGAGGCAAAGCACTAATTAAGCCACCCAGTACTGTCTACATTTCACGAGAGATAAAAACCTACTCTGTATTTGGGTGGCACAGTAAATTCCATGATTATAATTATGTACGAAGGAGTTTAATTGAGCACATTGACATGACAAGGGTTATACAAAATGCTTTAGGGATTATATAAGACCAAGTGTTTTTTCATCTGTTCTTTTCTTTTTAATCTTGATGTTAGCAAAAATTTTCCAAATTTTAAATATAAGAAACATAAGTTGCCAAGTTTAAACATATTCTGTTTCCTCAATGCTGTCTACCTTTATTTTGATAGTAAGCCTGCAACTAAGAGTCTTAATTTTATCTGTAAAGTATAATATGTGTTTTGCACAAGAACGAGACGGTGCTTATGGATGTGAGCAGGCACACACACTTGCTCTGGAAGTTGTAAACTTGAGTATTTGTGAGGTTACCTATGGAGGTGTAGCAGGTTTTCTTGGGGCTAATGACTGACTGTTACACCAACATAAAGTCAATTACGGAAGGTAGGATGATCTTTAACGCGATGTTATCTTTCCTGACTACAAGTATTTTGTTTGGAAAAGTAATACATGGAAAAACAAAAAAAGATACATGTGTATCAGTACAAAGAAAATGTCCTTATCAGTTTTATTTCCCATCCAAAGAAGAGAGAAGTTCCATTGCACACGGTAAAATAATACAAATTTAGTCAAGTGAATTCTCAAAAAGGTGACACAATCCTAAAGTGTTTAGAAATTATTAGTGCAGATTTAATTTTCAGGAATTGCATACTTCACCTGGGAAAGCCCTAAGTGACAGCAAGGGTAATAACTGTTGAAGCCAGCCTTTTCAGAACTTTTTACAGCTTAAATGCATATTGTAATATTGAAATTGAGCAGGAAGTTTGACCTGCCTCTCATTTCTAAGTAACATAGCGAGGTATTACTTCTGTAGGATAGAAAAAAATCTGAATTGTTACACAGCGAATGATAGACAAGCCAAAGCCAGTGCGCTCCAGGCTAGACACTGAACACACCCCACACTTCTCCGGTCTGTGCTGACTTCCCTGGTGACCCCCCTGCCCCCGTGCATGCTCCCTGCCCTCACCCCGGGCTGTGACCACGGGGTTGAATGGAGAACGGGTGCAGGGCTGTTGTTTGAAAACTGTTTTACAACGGGTTGGTGTGATTCATTTTATATTTTTTAATTGAAGAAGGAGCATGGCAATGGCCAACTAGTGCAACTTATTTACAGTCAGAAATTTAAAGGTTTATCCTTATTCAGAGTCTGTATTGAACTGAACTGTTATACATTGTAACGCTTACACTGTATGGTGAAGAGCAGTCTTTTTCCTTTACTGATTTTTCAGAGAGAGAGAGAGGGGGGAAGAGAGAGGGGGAGAGAAAGGAAAGAGGAGGGAGAAAAGAAAAGGGAGAGAGGTTTGTTGTTCTACTTATTTATGTATTCATTGGTTGATTCTTGAATGTGCCCTGACTGGGGATTGAACCCATAATCTTGGCATATTGGCATGATATTCTAACCAACTGCGCTACCTGGCTAAGGCAAAGAGCAATCTCTTAATTAGCAAAGGATTTCTAAAAACAATTAGTATTGCAAGATGTGGCTGAGTTAAGTCCTGTGTCCTTTCAAAACTGAGCTTCTCCCCCTTTTCCTTCCTATCTGGTATTAAGGTATTGTAGTGAAGAGCAGTAAAGACAACCGCGGTTTTAATTGAAAGTTGATGCTCATGAGGCGGTGCTATCAACACTTCCAATTTCAGGTGACCTTAAGCCTTAAACTGAAGATTTTGCTCACAAAGCCACAACTTGAACCTTGCCTCTTTCTTTTTTCTTCCTAGAGGTGCCAAAAGCTTTAAAAATTCAATCAAAGTAACCATTTTTGTCTCTGGAAAGGTAGCAGCTGACAGTAATTGGATAATACAGCCTGACTCATTTATTAAAAAGAGATTCTGAGTCAATTGATTTAATAACCATTACAATATTCCATTAAGGATATAATAGGCTAGTGCAGCTCTATTTTATTAAGAGTTATAGATGGGATCTATGGGTAAAACTTCTAGATTTTTCTTCCTCTTTCTGCTTATCTATATTCTCCAGATTGTCTACAAAGAGCACACTTTTCATTTGTAGGTAACTTTGGAAATTCAAGAATAAAAAAATGCTGCCCTTTCTATATCCTATTA